CATCAGTCATGTTAAGATCTTCTGGTAAGCAGTGCAGATGGGCTGTAAGACAAGCTTGAATGTGAGCATTAAAAACAAGCACCCATTTTAAGTGACTAAAACAGAGTGGCTCACTGTCATGCGAGCACCTCTCAGGTTGTATCTTAGCAACTGGCCAGCCAAAACCAGACAATCTGTACATCTGAAAGCTGCTCCAGACTTACCTGAAGCTCTTGGGTCTAGAAATTGTGCTGAACTCCCTAAAAATAGGCAATGCTGCATGAACTGTCCTACTTCAGAGGAAATACTAATATTCCACACTATGGGCTGGAGAACACAGGATCTGTTTTAAGTTCTATCCCTGACTGTTCGACTAATTTTTGCTAAGGCCCACAAAGACCTGTGTGGGATCTTGATGGAGAGTGGCTGACATCTACTTGCAGTTTGGATCTAGGTGGAACCTGCTTTTTAGGTACCCTTTGCTCCAAGGGCTGTCCGTATGACCTTGCTCACTGCCAGTGGCCTTTACCTGAGCTAGCTCTCACTGACTTACCTAGAGCACTGGAAGTCTTCTGTGAGTGGTGTTAACACCATTTTGGGGACCTACAATGCCTTCTTCACAAGCTCACTCATGAAAATGAAGCTTAGGACTGTTTCAGAGCAAATTCTGTGCAGGACAATGTAGTCCTTCTACAGTTAATCAAACTAAAAATTAACAGTAACTTCAGACTAGGCTGAATTTCTTCAGTTATCTGTGGGAGAATAAGTTTCTATAAATAAACTGAAGCACTGCGATATTTTTTTTATGAAGTTCAAAACAAAGCCAAATTGTCAAAACAGCCCAAAGCTTTTCTAAGCAGCAAACCTCTTTTAATCCAAACACATGAGCATTTTCAGACACACTCTACTGAACAAAACAAGATTGTGTAGGCATGCACAGAGGGAAAGACACTTGGCTCTGCTGGGGCAGTGGGCACATGACCACATACATTTGCGTAGCGCTTAGTATTGACAGATTGTTTATGGGGATGAGACAAAGTCAGTACATTTTCTTGGGGCCCTTAGTGGTCTGAGCAAGAAACAAGCTCCAAGCAAATTTCTTTGCTTTCAAGGTTGCCTTCCCATGGACTGTGGTATTTCTCTCTTAAAGCTGGTGGTAGCTAGACCCATTTCACACAAATCTGAATGAGCAATATATATCTGAAAGGCCAAACATTCGTTAGAGACTCCTGATTCAAGACCTAATGAAACATGATTTTTTATGTGTTCCACGAGCGTGTTTGTGGTATAGATCATTTGCCACTCGGTGCTATGAAGACAAAACATATTAAAACAAAAACATATTTACAACAGCTTCCATTCTGCCAAGACAAATAGTGCTAAGTGCTGTCGCTTGCTTCAGCATCTCTTCCACAGTGACTTACCCTGTTGTTCATAGCACTTGTACATTTCTAGGTAGAGATTAGGAACCATCCTGATCTTTGGAAGAACTGCCCAAGCAACTACCTCATGGCAGCAAGGGGCCTGCTAGCACCTCTGTGGATAGCCAGGACAGGGGTGGGGAAGGCAGAAAAGGTAAAGGACAAGGTTTTTTTCCATGTAACATGTCTAGTATCAGCTGGGCACCTCAAGAGTTGGACCTTGTGGCCTCTAAGGCTAAAGAAGGGCTGGGCACCTCTTCAAAGAGGTGGTTCTGTGGGTAGCTACACTGCACAGCTTAGAAGCCTGTAACAGCCACAAAACCTGTTAAAAATCAGATGCTCGGCAGTCCTCTCCAATGCTGTCTGACTGCACCTCACTGAGGGACTGTGTAACTGTGAAGTGTCTTGAAAATACAGAAGTGCTTAGTATGATTATTCTTGCTGTAAGTAATGAACACTACTAGAAGTTCACAGTGCTGAGCTGATTTCTAAGCCGTCTGGTGCAGGTTTCTAGCAGTGCTCTCAGGGGAGAAGTGGGTGAACTCCCCCTAAACCCTTTGAAAGCTCGTGAAACTCCAGGCAAGCTGAGCTGCTGGCTCAGCACAACAGCTCAGCCAAACTCTCATCCAGGCAGGGATTAACCACATGGCAAAAGGAGATATGTTCTTTTAACAGGAGCAAATGGAAGGACAGTAATGGAGAGATGGTGAGTTGGTATTAACTGTAACCTCTAAATAACAGGTGGGTAGTATGTCCAAAGACAACAGCTCTGGGTTAAAAGTCCACTCTAATTTAACACACTTTCTGCCCTTAATACTGGAACCTCAGCCACTGCTTCTGTTTTCTCTGTCATCTTTGACATGTCCACAGGAACTTATCAAGTTCTGCCTCTTTCCTAAGTTCAATATACAGCATTTACATTAGCAAAAGAGACCTTGGCTTGGCCCTGCCCATCCCACAAACAAACAGCCCCAAATGATGGAAGGTTTTTACAGCTGAGGGCTCGTGTAAACCATTCTGGGATGTGTCTGCTATGAAAGGGACATGAAGAAGAGGAATGCACAGCTCTTCTCCATTCACTGCAGCTGCACAGAAAGCAATTTTTAAAGACCCAAAGTATGCATTTACGATGTTCATAGGATTCATGAATGTGCATAACAGAAGAACCCCTATAGGAACATACAGATTGCACTCTAACAATCATTCAGAGATCTTACCTGCTCTTTGATGAATCCAAATTTCACTCTAAGACTGGTGTGAGACCATTATGAGAAAGATATGTAAAATGACCTGCTATAAAGCTTGAGACACAGGTCAAATAATGCAAAGGAAAGAACCTGGTCTTTTTGCCCCCAAATTCTTAATGGCTGCTTGAAAGATTACTTTCACTGGGTTCATATCTCTGTGTATTTCCAAGGGAATTTATACACCTTCATTTTATGTAGCACAAATTTGTCACTGATTGGCCCAAAAATTTACATAGAGAGAAAGCCTTACATACTTCTCAACAATTCAGGAGTTCAGCAATCATTCAGTCAAGCATTCATGAGCCTCAGCTGGTATAAATTGTAGCATTATCTAAAATTCATCTCTCTTTATTATACCCTGCTACAAAGGAAACAAGAAATCTAAGCGTACCCATCCAGCAAACAGCAGCTTGGTCCTACAAAAAGGAGAGATAATTTACTGCAAAATCAACAAAGGGAAAAAACGCTGAGCAGAGAAGCTGGATTGCATGGGCAGGGAGAGAGCCCCTTTCATTTCAGCACTTCTCATTAGCATTATATAGAAAGTAGGGTTGCAGGATTTCAACACTTCTGTCTCTTTTGGGCCTCATAACCAGCAACATAATTCCAGGCTAAACAGATCTCTCACATTTCTTCTTAAATAAGAGGACATGCAGCCAGGGTTTGGAGGTGCTCTCAGGTAGTTTGTTGGTAAAGCAGTAATTGTACAGATCCCAGGGAAAATTAGACATAGTCTTCATTCTGGTTTATCATTGTACTTTCATTCCTATGCACCTAGCAGGGAATTGTGGCATAGACTGCAATACCAGGCACTGTACATGGCATTCCCACAAAGGAAATGTGAAGTAAAATCAGCAATCGAAACTACTCTTGTATAAGTTTTGCTTTTCAGAGAGTTCATCCCACCACAGAGGCATGGAAGAACTGTATTTTTTCTAGGGACTATGTTTTATTTATCTAAATAGTGCTGCACTGCAATAATACACTGTGCTTGTGAGCTCCAGAGATTGAAGAGCCCGTAGAGAGATGGATTTATAATACAGCCCTCCACCCAGGAGGATGAAAGAGTTGTGCAGCTCTGGGTTTCATTACCCTTTGGCCCCTCTGCTCAGGCTGTGGCCATGAGGGACCTGAGAGGGAGAGCTATTCTGACGAGACAGTTTTGAGATCAAATGTCTCTGTTTTGTCACACAGACAGCTACAGAGAGAGAATGAACTCATCTTTCCCAAACCCCTGTGCAGGACACACTTTCCAGAGGGGGAACCTTGCTCCCAGCATGCCAAACATAGGCCATGAAAGACAACCTGTAGGCACTGGGAACAACCACAAGCCAAGTGGCCAGTATGGGCCAGTGGGTCAGGCTCACCCATGAGCTGCCTCCAGCCAACCCACCCGCTGGGGGCACAAGGGACATGGAAAAGTAAAATACAGCTGCATGCAGCTGTACACAGCTCAGTGCTTAGAGCTGCAAACTGCGGCTGCTCCATCTATGTGCTGATCACCTCCAGCTGTGCTCCACTGCTGGTGAAACCCTGGGGCTTGCTGCAACGCATCCCAAACTGCCATCTGTCCTCAACAGACTGAGCCACTCTCTGTAAAGCAAAGGAAATCTTGCTCCCCATCACCCTTACGAAACACGCACACAACTAAAATTATAGCGATTCATTGGTATGGTTTACCCTAATTTGTGTCGTAACTGGAACAGGATCACAAAACATCCTTACTCTGACAGCTGCAGGGAGCTAAGAAATGCAGGTCAAAAGGTGGGGTAATCAGAGGGATCAGGATGGTTTGTGTTCTCACCTCAACCTTGGCTCCTGCCACATTCCTGTGGTGCCTTGTAGGTAGATCTGTGCTTCCCACATTCATAAATTGGTGAAAATCATTTTTGCCCATGAGAACACTGCAAAGTCAGGGTTATGCTTATTCATACAGAGTTCCAAACTACCCAGGGGAGAGAGGACCTGTAAACTAAACCAGCCACACAGCACTTCCCAAACCACTGAACGGTAAGCACAGGGACAAAAATACATCAAAAGCTCCAATGCCAAAGAGCAATGCTTGTGGACTATCCTGAGGGTCTCAGCTGAAAAGTGACACTTGTGTGGCTCCAGACAGGAACCCAGCTGGGAGCCCTCACTAGGTAACCCTTCCCAAGAGGCACAAAACAAAAAACCTTTGCACCTTCCAGAAAATTGGAGAAGGAAACTGATAACCTGTCCTCCTGGCTCATGTCTTACTTCACAATTAGCAGGCAGCTCAGTCTTGTTTACCACTTGTAAGCACGAAAGGGTTAAGACGAACCTTGCACAAACTTTGCTGCGAGCTGAGCTCCCAGCCTCCCTCCTCCTGCCGAGGCAGCAGCTCCGGAGCGCTCTGGAGCCTCAGTGCTCCGGATCCTCCTCAGCGCTCCGGCTGCTGTGGGAGGCAGCTGGCTGCTTCCATCCAAGCAGTGAAGCTCATGAAGAGAAAGCTCCTTGCCCCCTTCTCCTGCTGCCTGCGAAGGAAGGGCATCAGCAGTGATGCTGTTCAGTTCGGCTGTCAATTGACGTCTCAAAACGGGGAGTAAGAGCCAGCCCTGCCAGCGAACCATGTGAATTCAAGAGCAGAGGAGAAGAAAGTGCACTTGGCGTGTCTGTTGCTGAAAAGACAATATCCTGACTCCAGCAGTAAGACGGCAAATCTTTTCTGCACAAATCCCACTACCTGGGAGGAGATGTTCCTAGATAATTCACCAGCAAGCTCATGGTCTGAACCAGCTGCTCAAGTGCCCAGTCCCAACACCCCTGCCTGCTCTGAAAGGTAACTATGCTTTATTCTGTTCTCTTCCTATGCACTACCACCGCTGAGACACTGGCATACTATTTTCATTTCAGCATGAGAACAAAAAATACCGTCTGTCGCTGAAAGAAAAGACACCCCCCCTTTCTTTTCCCTCATATTCTCCCTGGAGAAAATGCTAGCTGTGGACGGCATTGATACTTTAATGTTTTGTTTGCATTTCTTCAATGCTGATTTTTTTCTCTAAAGGTCACCTAGACAGAATACACCTGGTACTGCCTTGTGTTCAAAGCCAAACCCTTCTGCGCTTGCCAGACAGTTCAGTGGTTTATACTAAACAGCCTTGGAGAAGCTATACAAGTAATTGTTCTATTTTGTCCCACTTATCTCTTTGTAGTAGTTAGAGTATTGGATGGAAAAGCAAAAGAGAACTCAGAAAAGTTGCTTGCAGTTTCAGAGATGCTTTGCTGGCAAGCAGCACTTAAATTGAATATGGGAGTAAAAGGAAGCAAGTAGGCAGGACAAGACATTTACTGCAGTTGCAGGATCAGTTTATACTGTCTGTCTGCATTGTTTTGGGGAAAATCTTTCTTTCTCTCTGCTCCTCTGTGATCTACGAAGGGACAGAGCAGGGCCATGCAGGCTTCATAAAAGCTCCCGAAACCTGAAGCTCCTCAAACCCTGATAGCTGCAGTGGGAAGATGGTAATTTCAGCACCCATGAAGTTTTGGCTCATGAATTTCCTGTCACATTGACACTCTCAAGAAGAAACCTTTCTGTTGTTTTGCATAAGGCTTCTATTTTCATTGCTGATTTTTATTAAATGAAATATGTTTGTTTGTTTAGTTTTGGGTTTTTTTTTTAATCCTTGCTTAAAAACAACCACAAACTGGTATTAAAAAAAAAAAAAAAAATGTGCCTGATTGGAATCAGTCTGTACTCACTGAGCATCAGTGAACACTAATGGTGCTTGGCACCTCAGAAACGGGAGTATTGACTAGCCATCAAAGAATGACTAAGCGTTGATCAACAGTTTAGATCACAGGGAATGTGGGCTCTAGCTACACTGATCTGCTCTATAACTATCTTCTATTTACCATCTCTGTTCAGGGACTTGAGGGCTTCTCAGGGTAACCAGGGAGGTTTTGCCTCCTGTAGTCTGAGTCATACAAAGTTATACTGCTGACCTGCTTTACACACAGTTTTTTCAGAATCTTTCTGTACCACTTATTTTCACATGACCTTCATCTCTACAGTCTTCAAGCTTCTATTGCTTAATGGGGAGTGTGCAAAGCTAAATCTACTAATATCCAAGAAGATGTGCTCCATGGCATAATTGGTACATTGAAAAGCAAAAATCTTTGGGGTTGCCTGGAGCTACTGAATTATTTCTGGCTTATTTCTGGAAAAGATGTAGTTAATTTCACAGCTCTCAATAGTCTGAATAGTTGACTGCTCCTGACAATTCTACAGTTGAGACTATAAAAAAAATAAAAATAAAAATGCAAGCTGTGCCAACTCCCCGTTGCTAATACTTTTTACTGTTAATCTGCTCCTTTTATCAATAAATGCCCAGCTGAGCTTTTTTAATTCAATGTCTTGGTTTGTAGTTAACTATTGAACTTCAGGCTAATGTCCTTAGCATTCTGCAGTCTAATTTTATGAAGTATGTAATGCCATTAGGCTCTCTGCTCCTTAAGGAGAGAAACTGGCTCTGGCTTTCGCTCTCAGTAAGATAGCAGATGAGGTGGGCAAAGACATTGCTGTGTACTTTAACTCACACAAGTGTCAGATTCCAGACTGATTGCATTTCATTATCAACAGAGAAATCATATTGTAAGAACAGAGGTTTCATATGGCCAGTAATCTTCACACCCTTTATTTCCCACCTGCTGTGCAACATAAGAATATTCTTCATGGGGGAAGAATTTCCATTTATAGGTTCAAAGTGTGAAAATCACAGTTATTGATCCTGGCTGCAACACAACCTTCACTTTCATGTCCCATGCTTCTGCATCAGCACCAAACCTGCTGCCAGAATAACTGGCTCCAAAGGGGTTGGGTCAGCCCCTGGAAAAATACTGAGCAGCCCTTTTCTACCATGCTCGCCCACACCCTCCTACGCAAAGCACAGCACCGAATCCACTACCCATGCAGGCACTGCAGAAGTCAAATCCCCTGGCAATTTTTTTAGTCAGTAATTTGGCCCAGTTTAGCCAGACTATTACTAAGCAGGATCTGGCCCAATATTCCCTAAACTGAATTGCTGTTACCTCAAATGCTTTGATACTGAAGAAGGTATTGCAAGAGCCGGTAGGTACAGTGTAGACAATCCTCAGCATCCCTTCTCCAAAAACTCAGTACATCAGATGTTTCCCCATCATGTGAGCCAACGTAGGTCTGTCTTGCTTGTAATGAAAGCCAGAATATCAGCTCCTTGATGACTCAGGCCTCCAGATTTCAACTACCTCTCTGAAGAACAGCAAGGTGTTGTTCACATTGGTGCACGGGAAGAACATAATCAAACATTGTCAATAAACCAGCTGTATTTTACAAACTGAAGGCCCATGAAAGTCAAAATGTTTTTCAGCAATATATCTTTTAGGTGAAATCTTTTATCTAAAAGCATCAGAGCTTTTATCGTTTTGACCTAATGTTTAATTTTATCCTGACTACCATAGTGTATTACCATATTAATATTACTCTATTTACATCTCGTGTAGGTGTATATGTAGTGAACATTATAAATGACTGCATCACTTTGTTTCACTGCTGTCATTTTTGCTTCAGCTTAAACCAAAATTCTGGTCTTATCGTAGCAGAACATGATGCTTTTGGATGCAACATTTACAGTGCAATTTCAGCATTTTAATTTTCTGTTTCCAGCTGGAAGAATTGAAAATGCTAAAGTGTTAAGATTCCTCCTATTTCTAGTAAGTTTTGCTCCCAGGAGGTAAGTGAAGGGTCATATCCTGCAGCAGAGCTGCCCCAGTGGGACAGGCAGGGCTCTGGATGCCTGCCAGGTGCATCCTGCCTCAGAAATGGAGGGGCCTGATAAACAATAAGAGACACATGATGGAAGACGCTGTCTGGATTCATCTTCCCTTCCTCTGTGATATCTAATTCCATAGACCGTGGGGCCTTCTCTTACCCCTAAGTAAGTAGTGAGTGTTACCAGAGGAGACCTTAACAATTAGATTTGCATGGTCTTTCTCTAAATAATGCTTCTCCTGATCTCAAGGTGTCTCACAAAAGCATAACAAGAGTTTTCTTATCTATTTGTTCTAAAGATACCACATATAGGCTAAACTATTTTGGTACCTGGTTTTATTTCTCTCTCATTTTTTTTTGTTTTAGAAAGCTGACTTTTTGACTGTTCCTAATGAGAAACTCAAAACTCCAGACTCTTTAAGCAATTATCAGTAGCCCTGGATTAAGAGAGAAGAGATCCCCAGCAGTCTGTCAAGGCAGAAACCAACCCTATCCAGCTCATACAGGGATAAACCACCTGCTGTGGGAGAAGCTGCCAGAAAGCCGACTGTTTTGAAAATAGCACTTGCAAAGACCAAAGCTGTGCAAACCTTTGCAGCTCAGTTTAAGAGAAAGACCAAAGCTCTTCACCTACCAAAGGAGGTGACCTACCAAAAGAAGGACCAAAGCATTTTCTGGACAAAATAAAAGCCAGATGGCAGTGTAAAACACAAGTCTAATGTTTGTTGTCATTGTGATAGCAACTTGCAAAATGATTTGCAAAGGCCTGTCTCATGCAGTCTGCTGAACTGTGTGAACCAGCAGTCTTGAGACCGAGAGGATGGAGGATTTCTCACTGAAGCCATCGTGCCTCCTGACCTCCTTTGTGAGTCTGGTAAGGGAAGACAGGAAATCTGAAGGTAAATAGGGAAAATGGACCAAAGCTGACAGAGAGCAATGACTGAGATTTATTTCAAATTCCGTGGAAACCTGACTGGCCGTGTCCACTTTCCAACTCTGGCTACAGAAGTAGACACAACAGCAGATAAATACTCCAGCCTCTACGTGTACGTAGGATTGTTCCTAACACTTCTGGCTTTCCTCCTCATATTGCTTTTCTCCATGCTCTTGCGCCTGAAGCATGTTATTTCCCCGATTACCACATCTCCAGAGAGCACTGAGAACATCCAGCAGTTCACAGATGTGGAAATGCACAGCAGGATTCCTACCACTTAGAGACCCCAAAGCAAAGAGGGCTCTGTGCTTGTGAAACAGGTTTTGTTCAGCAAAATGGTGGTGTAAAGAATCTCTGTCTGTCTATTGAGCCCTACAACTTACTGCACAACCATTAACAGCAGCACAGAGCATCTGGAGAGTGTCACACAACTCAGACTGACTGGATGGGACCCACTGGCTGTTGACACTACAGGCAACGTGTGTGCAGCGCCCTCAATAAAATTTACATTACAGAAACCTACTGCTACCAGGAAAGACTCATATCCCTCTAAAAGCCCTTGCAGGAAGGGTAAAAGCCACAATAATGACAGCCAAAACCCCAAAGAGACACATACCAGAACGTGTCCTGAAGCCTGTATTTGCTGACTTGACTCTCTGCCCTTAAATTCCTTGCTTGTGAAAAGAGTTGAATCAACCAAGTGGTGTAAGCGGGAAGAGCCCGCAGGGCACATACAGAAATTATCAGTGGTTTGGAAATTCTCAGGCATTTCTCCTATTCAAGAAGGAAAACCTTAAACTGCTTTTTTTTTTTTTTTTCCACTTGGATGGCAGATTTACACAATGGAGTTTCAGAAGTATACAAATGCTTCATCACCTGCTGGAACTATTGGTTTCTGACATTAAAAACCATACAGTGAATAGTTGCATTCCGGATATCAGAAAGAGACAGAACTTTTAAAAGAGGAAAGAAAATAACGATAAAAATGAACAAAGGCTTAAAATAAAAAGAAAGCATCATCAGGAAATGAGCAGCAGGAGAGAAAAAATGTTAAAAGACACTCTACCTCTCTTCCTTTGTTCTTCATTACATTAACTGAGCTGAATACAGATATGTTCATGCCTTTCAGTATCAGTAATTAAAATGCAGGGTAAAGTTTGTGAGTCAAATGGACATTGTTCTCCTAACAGACTCAAATTCCTAACATTTTCTCTCATATCCATGTTGGGTTTTCTTTCTCAAAGGACAGATCAGTTCTTCCAAAGCTTTTTCATTTGTTTTCCTCCAAAGAAAGCTGAAGAAATGCCAGTGCTTGGCACTGCAATAATGAATAGTGTGAACAGCTTTGGACATAGACTTGTAGGGAACATGCAAATGGAAAGTAAACTCACTGAGCACTAAAAGATAGGACTGGATTCAAATATCCTGGCAGATCATTTGGAACAGCGAGGAAAAAAATGTTTACTTAGATTTACGAAACAACAATTTGATCCAATCCTCTTACCCGTGAATGATGTACAGAGATACACTTTGCTTCTGTGGATGGGAAAGATGGAATCAAGTATGGCATAGCACTTCTGGAAGAGCCACTGCTGCTTACAGAAAGAATTTGAGCAAGATTGTTTCAGCTGTATCTCTAAAGGGCATGAATTTTAGCCAGCTTATATTCTTTATTACTGTTTAATTCTAGTTTAGTGATAAAATCCCCTGGTGCTTTCCACAATTATATACACTTATTTGACAATTCTACTCTCTCCAAGGGCTTGGAAAGTGTAAACTCCCCATACAAAACCAGTGCTAAAATTAGAGATGACACTGACTCCATGGACTTGTAACACGAAACTGTTTCTCAAAAGCTTGGTGTACAACAGGTTCTGTATTTACCTTTAAAGGTCTGCATATGGGTGAGTTGTTTGGACTAGGAATATGGCTTTTACAGCTGATTGTGTGTGGAGGGGGGAGCAGAATGACAAGTAATGTCCATACTGGATACAGCTGGTCCATGGGCAGGACTATTGTTTTTCTCACTGATGTATTTAGTACAAAACTATTTAAAAATTGGTACCTTATATTGAATGGCACCTTTCCTTTTATACTCCAATAACCCCCATATAAGCAGGTTTAATCTGTGAAATAGTGACTCTGTAAGGGAATACAGCAAACAATACACTCCCAGCAATATCTCCTCATGCTGTGCTTGGGTGTGTTTACCTGGAAAAGAAGGCAGGAGGCAGGCTGCCCTCAAGCTTTCTGCCATGAGGACAACACACAGATACCACCAGGCAGGACGGTGGCTTCACACAGCATTTAAAGATTGGCTCCTCAAGGAGTGCAGTACTGCATAAGAGTCTACATTTGGTGTGATGATTTGAACATTAATCCAACTAAGACAGACAGGTACTGAGTTAGTCAATGACATTTGAATTTACCAAAAGTCTATGCAGATCAAGTTGGTTTGGTATGTGCCACTCATTCAGCCATCATGAGGCAGACTAGCCCAGGCTCAACATCTGGCTAGCCCTTATAGAGCCTCTCAATTTTCTTGATGTGCCATTCAAAAGCTACAACTTCCTTAGACCATAAATGTTCTAACACACTAAATCAGCAACTAAACCACATTAGCCCTCCAGCACAACTACCCATGGAAAAGCCTTATTTCCAAGAAGCTGCAGGACAGATTCAAATACTGACATAAAATATCAGACCTACAAGTGGGAAATTACAGTATCAGAATCTGAGTTGGGACCCAAATTCTGATTGCTTTGATCTCAGCTGAAAAGCCCCCAGAGGTAGGTGTCAAGACCGGGTTTCTCTCCTCCATACTAAAGAATGTTAATTCAGAAGAGTCTCACAACCCTTTAAAACTTATTCAGTAAATATACTGTAAATAAAAGAGCAATCACTTTATATATCGTTACATTATATCACATTATATCTTTGGACAGACTGTGTATTTCTAGATAATACTGCTAAGGAAGGCAGCCCTACCTTCTAATAGAAGAATGACAAGTTTTACTTTCTAAAGCTTCATTTCACACAAAGTATCAGTCCCACTTGATACATCTACAGTCCCAGAGGCACTTAGAGTGCCTCATTTGTCGGCACAATGCCAACAGATTTTAAAGCCTTTCCCACTGAGAAATAGAAGAATGCCTTTTCCCCATTTTCATTCCCATTTGTAACATTCAAGATCTAATGTCTCTGAGAAAAGAGAATGCTGGGATGCGTTGACCTGTGTTTACTGAGTGGGCTTTAGTGGACTTTGGCATTCTTTGGCTATAAGGAGTGGTTATTGGAACTTCTGCATGGATTTGCTGGATCTTGGAGAACTGCAGGTGTCACATTCATACCCTTCCCCTCCAGTAGTCTGTTTCCTCCCCACTTGTCCATCAGGTACAGAAAATTGGGGGCTTTTAAAAAATAAAGAGACATACTACTATCAGCGGTGAGTCACTGACTGCTCTGTACTATTTCCATGTGTGGATCTGAGAGACCAGCCCATATGCAGAAATAGGCTCAAATGGTGCCACTCCTTTCAAATTAATTGTTGGCCTCAGGGGACATCTGTGTAAGCAGACCCCCTACCAGTCTGTGTAAGTATTACTTGAACCAGGACAGTTTGCTCCCATCTTTACTACCATCTTAGACATTGGAAACAAATATATCTATTTAGTAAATTCATCATCTCCTCCATTCCCTACCTGTGGGGGAAGACAGCCACCGGTTGTTCTGAAGGAGCAGCAAAGCAATTATGCATTGCCCTTCTTTGTGGGTGGGACTGTGAGGTCAGATCAAGCCTACAGTCATCAGAAAATCACCACCACTCCCAAATCTCCCAGGGTATTTAGTCTAGGAGGTGTCAGGACCCGAGTATAGTATAACTCCCTAAACGATATATATTCTACAGGATTTATGCCTGGGTAATCTTATCCACGTGATTTCCATTCACGTCCATGAATTTTCTGCATTAGCATACCCTTAAGTACTGAGAAAGGGTTGGAATGTGGAATATGTTCCTTCTCTGTGTCAGAATATATAAACATATATATTCATATCCTCACAGGGATGCAGAGAAGAACATAATTCTGCAAACAGAAAACTCAGCAGAGGATCAACCCTGAGGTCCCTGAAGGACTTTTTTTTGTTTTACTTGAAATAAAAAATGTTTGAAACCCCAAAATTATGTGAACATCCATTTAACTGTCAGCATTAATGGAAATTTACTTGTATGCCTTGTCTTCACTAGGAAAAGAAATATGTCCTTACCCCTGCAGTCACTAGTGGGGTAACTACTATTGAGGTAACATCCTAGTGCAGATAGACAGCTATAGCTTTAAAGCAGGTTAGCAGATCAGGAAAGATGCAGACAACTCCTGCTACTTACTATCTGCTGATGGTAAATGCTACAAGTCAATTTATTTGCTACAGATTAGGTATTCCTATTAGGATTCCTGATGTTCGTTCTGTGGGCACAGATATCAAAACAAAGCCTGAAAAATCACAATGATAAGTTGGTTCTTTGCACACTTACTCTCTAGGATACAGTACATGAAAATTTCCTCCTCAGTCCTTTCGTGAGAACAGTTAAAGTATCATCTAGGACAGTTGATGTTATGCGTGAAAAATAATCCTAAACTGAATTTGAATTTTGATAGATTGGATTTTTCAGAGGTACTCTAGGATTTCTTCAGCTGAAGGCAAAAAGTTGTCCAGCTGCAGGCAATGCTCAATTGTGAAAGCAGATCTGCATACAAGAGGGAAAGGTCTGTCCAATTCATATGTAATTAATAAATAACCTACTCCCTGTACTCCCACCTGAATTTCATGTCTATGTAAACTTGTCAACTGGGAAACAAATGATGAATAATTCAGAAGACTTCCCCTCCCTTCCTTCTCCTCTAGATTTATTAACCCATTTTCAAAGTATAATTTGATAAAGCTAATAGCCACAGACTTCCTAAACTGACTCTCTGCATTAATTCTGTCTTCATGGTCATAGTCCTACTCTTACAGTCCCATTTAATAGCAATCGATTAAGATATAACAACAGGCACCTCCAAGTCAAATGAGAGGTCAGCAACATTCTTTGATATCTGAAATCTGTTCTTCTCTGAAAGCAAGAAATTGATCCTATTTAATCTGAGCTGTTGTCCTGAAGCTAGTTCCTCTTCAAGTCCTGAAACACTTGCACCACAATAGCTACTGGCTGATGTTTATTCATGTGGTTTGATGAAAAAACACATGCCTACCAGCAATACTGAAGGATCAAGTAGACTCTATCTGGGATACTTCTATGTAACCCACATGTGCGCAAAGATGAGGCAGATAAGTTCTTCCTTAAAATGCATGGGAGATCAATAGCAAACTGGGCTTGGGCTACCCATTGAACTGCGTGGGCAAGCAGGTGCTGAACTGGGGCACTCTTGACAGGACAACACAAACCCATGAGCTGGATTTGAATGTATCACAGGCTTTGGCACCCTCCAGCACCTTCCCACGATCCTTCCCAGGTCCCTTAAACATCTTTGTGTATCAGAATCCTGTCTTTGGCCCAGAACTCGTAAGTGGGTGTTTCCAGAGCTGTGGTGGATTTTTTAAGGCTACGTAAGCCTGTATTATTAGCTTGAAAGACATAAGCCTGGATGCCATCTACTGAAGCAAAATTTTCAAGGAAGATCTCCCCTTTACTCCTTATGCCTTAGCAATCCTAATTCAAAGTAATTCATGTTCATAGCAGTTAATGTGCAGCACTTTTTATAATGTTATTCCATAATCTTTAGGTTACTAGGAACCTGTCCAAATATCTGGGGCATAACTAGCACATAATGTCCCAGCAAGCTCACATCTGGGCCACTGTGAGGTTGCCACAATACACTCAGTGGCAAATCTTACAGCTTGTCACAACAGAATCAGACTGATGTGGATTTGCTATTCATAAATTTTTCATGCTTCCACAGCTTGGAAAAGCTCTGAACAGCCCTTTCTGCACTAACTCTGTCAGGATGTGGAGTCCGGGTGATAACACCACACCGGTTCGCATTTACTTCGTGTTGGCACCTAGTGAGGAAGAAATGTAACTTGCTGTTGTTAAATGTATCCAACAAAACAGAGAGAGGAAAGCGAGGAACATTCTGAACGTACCTGGTTTTGGCTAAAGTGCTGAATTTCAAAGCTGTTCATTGTTATAGAGCATACTCAACACTGAAAGGGACAGCTGACAGATAACAACAGCATGACAACATTCCCCATATGCACATCCACAAGCTACTCGGGAAGAAAGAAACCACTGGGATGAGAGTGCTGAGGCTGCTTTTCCTTTGTTTGACTTCTCCATGTAACTGTCCATCAATTCACTACCAGACACACCACTGCCCCACTATCCTGCTTACCTCCACACTCAGACTGCTCAGCACCAGCTTAGCTGGCATGCGGCTGAATAATAACTTGCTGCAAAGCAATTTGGGAAAGATATGCTGACAGTATATACTTAGTCTGGGTGAGATTTTGTTCTATTTCTACTTTTCCAATGAATTTTGCCTTGCCTAGAGTTCTTAAAACATCTCCAAATGGATACTGCCTTAGTGTAAATTCAGTGCCTTTAGTGCCCACGCTGGACAAAGCAGTACCAGAAATTAGGAAGGGTTTATCATGCTTTGAGGTAGTGAGATGGACCAGATGCCATCTTGATGGACTTCCTCTGAGAAGCTGCCCTCCATATCCATAAGCAAGTTACAGTTCAGACATAATGCTTGTAGAAAACACCTTCAAATTTGTTATCACTTCTGCCACTTAAACGCTCGAATAAGCCTTTACATTTTATGAATACTGACCAGTTCACCATTATTGCCTCTTTTTTTTCTCCTGCTGAGGAAACTTGAGATCACAGGAATTACTCACATCTCAAGAGCAGGGGACAGAGTAAGATACTTACAATTAAAACTTTAGGTCAGAGTGTCCAGTTTATACAGGCACACAAGTATCTGAGACACAGAGAATAGTAATCCATACAACAGACATGCAAGGCAAAGGAAAGTCTGTTGTAGGCAGATGTGTAATCATAGCTTTCACCTATTGTTTGTTTTACTCATGATCCAGGTCTGAACCCAAGAACAGGCAGAAGAGCCACACAGTAAATTACAGGAATGAATCACAGCAGAGTGCTGGGGATGTTCATGTACAGTAAACCAGGTGGATACTTGCCCATAACAGTAAATATCCTATAGGAGAGAGGAAATGAAGCAGGAATCAATCCAATTAATAAAGCTCAAAACTCAACACCTTCACAAGAACTGATTATTGAAGTTTTGTTTTATATAATAACAAATAACAGCTCACCATAAATTGAACCGTTCCAAGAAAAGGCCCACTAAGTTGGAATTCAGGCTACTGGGTGACAAGTGGTAATGTGCTTCCTTTGTAACAGGCTGGTCAAAGAGGTCAGTGAAGTAGGGGATTAATTTTGTATGGAATACAGTATGGTCAGAAGGGATTAGCTACTCTATCAGCAGGAGGTACCATACAGCACTCAAGCTTCACGCCAAGCTAAAATCACAATAGCACATGATGGCAAAATGGCATTAAAATATGATGTTGTTTCTAAGGAACTTAGCTTGAAAGAAAAGTGTTGTCTGTGTGCTAGAACTGTCACGTGCAATGACAATGTCAGTAACCCATTTAATTATGGGAAGCTTATGCTATTCTAGCATCACTCACAGAACCATTACCTTCTCAAAGAAATCAGATGGTGCTGTAAGTGTCAGTCTCAGAGGCAAAAACTGGCAGAATCAATTGCTCTCTTACTGGTAGAGCTGATCTTCTTGGACCAGTGCTTGGATTTTAACAACACTTGACATATCATTCATCACAATTAACTGCACAAACCTTTGTATGTCTTCCCATCTCAGATCAGATGGGAATGGATGGTGTAATTCCAGAGGCCAATCATTTCTTATTTTTTACTTTAGAGCCATGTGACCTCTCTCACAGCAGGCAACAGACTCTGAGAAACCAGCAACAGCCAAACCAAATGGAAGAGTCAATGCTGCACTGCCAGTCAAAGACTTTGGAATGCAGACAGACTATGCGACTATTTTTTAGAAGTGTAACCTGCTTTGAAAATGTCCCTTTCAACAAGCAGTTCCTTGCACTGAGGTCAGGTACAGCAAACAGAGCTGAGCTGTACCCAGTTTGTCTCTGTGCACGTTCCATGTGCTTCTCCTATTTACCTTTGCATATCACTGTGTCAACCACTTAAGAAAAAACACAGGAAACTGATGGCAAGAAATTATCTAACTAAAATCATTACATTCTTAAATATACATTCTCTTTGAATGTAATTTAAAGGTAAAACGAGGGGAAGCTAACCAGCCTTCCTGGAGAGCTATCACATGGTTTGACTTCAGTGTTACTGAGGCAGGAAGACCTGTGAGTTGGTAGGTTTTGTCTGTTTTCTGGAGATTTTGTCTTTGTAGGTGTATAAAGTCTCTTAGTTGTTTTCTTCAAGGAAAGACAAACACAGCAAACAAATGTGTCCAGGGCCAAGAAGCAGTGAGAACTATTGTCGGTCTCTCAGGTGATTAGATCCAGCTATACCAGGTTTTCACTTCCCAAGGTATCATCTTCCAGCAGTAATCATCTTTTGGTTTTGTTGTTTTTTTAGTAGACAGAGCTGAAAATAAATGCAACATGCAGTCCTTCTCTTGGGAAGGCTATTTATTCTTTCTTGTAAATGAGTCTGAAAGATCTATCATTCAGCATTCTAAAGTATGTGAGACCATTCCACTGAATGAAAATAACAGTTTGGACTCAATCTCACCAGACAGATGGGGAACGCATGTTTTAGGCAATTCCAATATTAAACACTGCCTCTTTATTTAATACTGCAGGTTTAAAACTCATAACAGAATATTAGGCAAAATAAACCAATGTGTAATGATATGTGTACAAGTGGTTATCTCATCCCCCAGTGACGGTGACCTATTCTCTGTCATTCTCATCTACAACCATCCTCTGTTGTGCTGAAGAAGCCTTGCAGCTCTTCTCTCTGCTTTTTTTGCCATTCAGCAGTCTTCTGAACAACCCTCAGTAGAGCTTTGCAGCTTAATGAACTACCTCAGGTTTGCAGAAATCCAATCAAATCGACGTTGGAACTTGGTCTGAAGAATAAGACTGGGAGTGAGG